CTTTTTTTTTTCTTTTTCTTCTAATCGTGATGAGGATCGGTTGGCGCGGGCCTGGCTAGATGTCATCACAAGGTGTCGGCTGGTGGTAGCGGCCGCGTCAGATGGTGGTAGTGCGACGATGGCTATTGCCACGTCATCTATCGAGCGCGTCACGTATCAGGCTGTTGGACTGTGGCTTCTGTTGTAGTTCGGCAGTTGGATAGGTAGGCCTTGCCCTGAACAGTGGTTGTTGCCGCAGTGGTTCTTGACTGTGGCTGGTTGTTGAGCGAGAATAGGGAGAAAGTTGGTGGTCTACCTCCTACTGAAGATGTTGAGAGGCAATCTGCCCTGCAAGGAAGTTCGTTCGTGAGCTAGTTCGCTTGCAAAGACGCAAAAAGCTATTGACGTTCCTCCCCAATGTTTGAGTCGTCTGCACCAATCAAAGGATGAGGATCGAATTGAGAGGGCTGCTCCTCCACCTAGTCATTGCTATTCATTAGTCGAGCCATGAGCAGTCAAACATGTAGTTGATTCAACGTCGTTGACTCCTTTGGAGATAAGGATGGCGATGGCTAAGAAGGCGAGAGAGTCGTCTACTCAGGTGAAGGGTTCTTCGGAAATACGAACAGCTGGTCCAAAGGTTGACAAGTCCAACTCTGGAGGGGATGCATGTGTGTCTGATTTTCTCAAGATAAATTTTCTATCAAGCTTGTCTGCTTGCGTCAAACTGGTTGATCATATCCATCAGGCTGGCGACCTTGACACCTTCTCAAGTCTTTCCTTAGAGAAGCAGAAGGAAGCGACTGTTCATTTGCTTCAAAAAAGAGTGGCAAAAGGGGCCATAGGCCTGCTTTAAGATCGTCATCCATGGAATAGAGGTGATCCATCATGATTGGTGGAAGATTGGCAGATGCCATAGTAGAACCCACTGAGTCACAAATATCTGGAAAAAAAGGGGGGGGAAGGAACAAAATACATAAGTCCCAGCACCTCCACGATTGCTGGCCTAAAGACTCAGAATCTCATTGTAGCAAAAATGAGGGGTAGAAAAACACACGCACGCATATGCACATCTCCATCATTCTTACAATTTCATGCCAATGCTATACTTGCAGAAGAATTAAGCCAATGCCTTTGTACAATTTCATTCGACAAAAGGGGAGGCTATTTGATACAGATGTAAAAGAGGGCCTAGGTCACAGCAGTCAATCATTTAGAAAAACCATGGAATGACTATTCCTGGATGAAAGCAGAGATATTCGATACATTGCGTGCTTATGCTTTCCAAACTTCTCGACACCTTCCCCCCCTTTTTTTTTTTTAAAAAAAAAAAAGTTACCCCCAGGCTCCGGGGTGTTGTGAGCATGCTAGTTTCTTTGTAAATGCTCAGATTTGCACGCTCCATTTTATTTTGCTTAAGCATGAAGCTTGTTAATGATTTGGGATCCTTACTAGTGACTTTTGGTGGCATGCTTTCTGCTAAGTAGCATTGTTTTTATTTTTATTTTTTTAAAATATTGCTATGTATATACACATGTATGTATACATACACAAGAGTTTGGAATGCAAAAAGACAAGTTTCCAAAGACAGCTTCCCCTCTGTTCTTTTTTTTTCAAAACACTCCTTCATTTTCATTTCAAATCCCATGCTACCATGATGGTACATCTTACAAAAGTTTCCCAGAGCAAAGGCGGGAATATGGAAGGAGACCATATTAAAAAGGAAATGCGATAATACAAAAGGTAAGACACGATGCCTACTTAGCAGTAGTAAGTAGTAAGGCTTGAGCCACTTTCCATTGATGGGATCGGTTATCATGACTTCCTTGATGGAGATCAAGCGATAATAGCCATTGCTGTGTACTTCCTTGACTGTAAACGGGCCTTCCCATTGCAGAGCAAACTTGGAAGGTCCCGAGACTTGTCTTCTCACATGCTCGACGACTTTTAGCACAAGATTTCCTCGTTTGAAGGTTTGAGGCTTGATCGTCATGTTATATGCTTGGGCAACGGTTTTGTGGTAAAGTGCCATTCTTCTTTCGGCTTCTACTCTTTTTTTGTCCATGGCTTTGAGGTCTAATAAGCGCTAGTCCGAGCATGACTTCACATCCCATTCAAGATCATTGACAACCGATACTCTAGCCGTGGGAATGGAGATTTCCACGGGTGAGATGGCATTAGACCCATACACGAGCAAGTAAGGTGAAAAACCTGTAGCACTTCTTGGAGAGGTGCGGTAAGCCCACAAGGCATCCGACAGGTGGACACTCCAACCGCCTTCATATTTGTATACCATTTTGCTCAAAATCCTCAGTACGGTTTTGTTTGTAGCCTCTGCCTGACCATTTCCCTGTGGGTAATAAGGTGTGGAGCGAGGCTGCCTGATACCGTAGCCGCTAAGTGTCGAGCTCACTTGTTTGTTAACAAAAGGCATGCCATTGTCAGTAACCATTTTGTATGGGATTCCAAACCTGCACACGATGTATTCTCGAATAAAATTCGAGATAGTAGCTCCCGTGGCCTTTCGAAGAGGGATTGCCTCAACCCACTTTGTGAAATACTCTGTGGCAGTGAGAATCCATATGTATCCTTTAGAAGGAGGATGGATCATCCCAATTAAGTCAAGCCCCCAAGTATGAAAAGGCCAAGGAGTGCGCATGTCTTGTAACAACATGGGAGGCTTGTGACTCAGATTGGCATGAATTTGGCATGTGTGGCATCTTTTAATGAGGTCATGCGCATCTTTCCTCATGGTAGGCCAATAATACCCAAAACTCAATAGCTGCCGGTGAAGCCTCTTCATTCCCTGGTGCTCTCCACACTCTCCAGCATGTATTTCTGCATGACTTGCTGTGCCTCTGGCTCTCCCAAACATCTCAATGGTTCACCATTAAATCCTTTACGATAGAGGGTCGACCCGTCCACGAAGTACCTCTTTGTTGTCTTCTTAAGCTTGTAGGCAAGTTTGGAATTGGTCGGTAGAGTCCCCTCAACAAAGAACGTTAAGTATGGAGCCCTCCAATCCTCTGCGAACGAGATGGTGAAAGATTCTTCGGTTGAAGGTATCGTAGAACACGTGGGGCATTTGGACTGAATTTCAACTGCTTGCTTCTTCATCTTTGGCCAATAATAACCTTTGCGTTGCAGACGCCGATACAAACTGATCACTGGTTCCAAGCTGCAAGTGGCGTCATGTACCTCTTGCAACCTCCTTTGTGCTTCTGTCAACCCTAAACCCTAAACCCAAAATGCCCACTGGAAGTCATCTGTAGAGTTCTCCAAAGATAATTGCATTGTCTTTCAGGTCTTTAATGTTACTTCCTTCGCCTAGCTGTTCTTTGACTAGCCTCCTTCGATCGTCTTCTACTTCCTGGAAAATCTAGTTTGAATGAGAGAGCTGTGGCTTGTCCTTGGGGGTTAATAAGTACTACACCTGTATTAGGCTGCTTTTGGATGAACGAGAGCTTTGACCCTAATGTAGCCAGAGCATCAGCATACCTGTTGGTAACCCCGGGAATGTGCTCCATCACAACTTGCTTGAAAGAATTAATGATTCTTTCGGCAGCTGTATGATATGGGGCCAAGGTTGCCTCTTTCACAACAAAACTTCCTTACAATTGACTTAGCACCAGATTTGAATAGCCGATGATCTTTATCCTTTCTGCGCCCATTTCTTTTGCTGTAGACAATCCCATAATCACATTATTCGTGCATGGAAAATCTAGTTTGAATGAGAGAGCTGTGGCTTGTCCTTGGGGGTTAATAAGTACTACACCTGCTCCTCCGCCACTAGCTGTAGAAGAATCGTCAAAGTAGAGAGTCCATGGTTCCTCTTCTGCAGCAGTGGCTGCTATTTCCGGCAGCTCTCCCAAAACTTCTTCGGAGAGAGTAGCATCCTTTACTTCAGGAAATATAGCTAGCATATCAATCACGGCTTGCCCTTTGATGGCTCTAGGAGTTGTGCATGTGATATCAAATTCGGATAGCTACAATAGCCAACGTGCGAGATGTCCAGATAGCACCGGTCTCGTAAGTAAGTACCTTACAGGGTCAGACTTTACCATGAGCATTGTGCACCGGTCTCGTGAGCAAGTACCTTACGGAGTAATGCCGTAAGCATTGTGCAGCATAGACAAGGGCAAGGCACAAGAGCTCGGTCTTCGGATATCTCGTTTTGGCTCCCCTTAACTGCCTGCTCACATAATAAATAGGACTTTCCTCTCCAGCATGATCGTCTTGGGTAAGCAAAGCCCCAACCACTGCGTTCGTTGCAGCCAAATAAAGCTTGAGTGGAAGTCCCGAAATGGGCGCTCTCATGGTAGGTAGCTTGGTGATTATTTGTTGCACTTGTGAATAGGCTTCTTGGCACTCCTTGCTCCACACATACGGCTTGCCCTTCTTGAGCAAAGGAGTAAAAATACTCATTATGGCAGCAAGGCCTAGGATGAAGCGCCGAATGTACAACAACCTTCCCATGAAACTTTTCAATTCCTTTGGGTTTCTAGGAGGTGCAAGAGAATTTATGGCTCGGGTCTTTTCAGGATCCACATCTATGTCGCGCTGATGCACTTGGAACCCCAAAAACTTCCCGGATGAAACCCCCAAATGCGCACTTCTTTGGACTCATCTTCAATCCATAGAGCCAACACCAAAGCTTCTTTCTCTTCCTTTGCCAAGTGAACGCTGATGGAGATGGGCCTTTGGACAGAGGGGTCATCACTCAAATTAATTGTTTCCAGTTGCTTGGCTACCGCAGTCGAGCCATCTTGCCTATGCCTAGGTGCTGTCATAGGTTCTTGAAAAGCACAAGGCATGGGTACCTTGTCCTTATGGCTGCTCATTTGTATCACTTCTTCTCCATACTCGGGGCTTTCCCGTAGAACTCGGTTGAGGCCCCAAACTTGTCATAAGCAATACATCGTGCGTCCATCTGGCAGCGTCACTTTTGAGCATTGGGGATGATCGTAAGCATGGTTGTTGACCTTGGAATGTCTCTTCCTTTCCCAATCGACAATGTTTATGAGCTCCTCATTGCTTAGATCACGAATTTCAGTCCATGAAGGTAGGTAGGTCTCGAAATCCTTGGATGGGTTGCTTCCAGCACCTATGCATTCGGTGTAGAATTCTACCTCTAAGTAATGGGCTTCATTTTGGTTGAACGGCACTTGATACCCTGGTATGCGAAGTGATCTCAACCCAATTCTGAAGCTGAAGGGAGCTTTAAGGCTGCGTGGCCTACGGTCGCCAAGCTTGCTGGGAGCAAGGCGAAGAACATGCTCAACTACTCCAACTTCTACAATAACTTCAGCGTGGAGGATAGCGCCGAAGACGACGCCATCGCCCCCCTCAGCGAAGTTGAGCATTCCGCGTTCTTGCTGTACTGGTTGTGCAAGTTCGTGTTTTGCACCCAGGCGAACAAGGTCACCTTGGAGTTTGCCCATTTGGCCGATTATCTGGCGTAAGGTGGAAGATTGGCGCTCGGCCCTTTCCTTCTCGGCCATATCTACCGGTCGCTTCACGACGTTGTTACCGACGGGATGAAGCCGAAGCACGGCGGTCCACTCTGGGCCTTTTAGTTCTGGCTTCAAGCCTACTTCCAAGAACTAAGGGGGCGGCCACAATTGCTGACACCGAGTCGTTGGCCAGTGCCTTTGCCAGGGCCCCCAGGAAGCATAACACAACGGCCTTCTACTTCAAATTCTTCTATGAGCTGGCCGAGAGGACCAGGTCGCAGTTTCGTGTGTGCCTTGCTCGGCCGTTTCCTCTGTTTCTGGCGTACGACCTCTCCGTGATTCCTAACGGCAAGACGGAGAATGACCTGAGGGAAATCTGGGGCTCCTTCCTGGTTGCGCGCGACCTTCACTGCGGCCTCTCCAAAGCCGGGGCTGAGGTTTATTTGCCGAATTGCGTGGCAAGGCAATTCGGCCTAATCCAAACCATCCCTCTCTTTCCTCTGTCAGTTAATAGGCTTTCATCTTGGAGGGCCGACGTCCCCCAAAACCATGGCGTGGCTGGCATCTCCTTTCAGCTCCAGAAGGGGATGACCTTCCTTACCCTGACGCCGTGGATGCGCCGTAATGGAATGGACGAAGATGGGCGAGTTTGGTACGAGGACTTTATCTCGGCCAGATATCTTCGGCCAGTTGGGGAGGCCCTAAGGGGGGCCTTGAAAAATGCGAATTGGGACCCCCTCACCCCCAAGGCTAGCAGGGGAAAGAAGGCACCCGTCCCGAGTGACGGCCGCGCCCATGTCCGGAGTGACGCCCGCCCTCATGTCCAGAATGACAGCCTCTCCCATGTCCAGAGTGACGGCCGCAACTTCAACCACGACCCCAACCTCCAGGGCGACGGCTGTGGTGGGGACGCCAAGGACCTTGGCGCTCAGGACCGTGCCATCTCCTTCGCCAGTCCGACCGAGCGCTGCTGTTGGTAAGCACTGGTCTTCTCGTGCTCTTTTTGATATTCCCGCGCTATGCCTGACTTTGTTTTATTTTTGAAATTCTAGGCCGCAAGAGGAGCAGAGAAGCCGAGAGTACTGAGGCCGCAGCAGTTGAGGCCATGCAAGCGGGGAGCGCCACGGCCGAGATGGAGGTATCAGAGCCGCCGAGAAAAAGGCTCCTCCTTGTCCTCTCAGAGGGCGAGGAAGGGGAGGCAGTCCCTCCTGTGGCTGTAAGTAATTCCCCCTTGGTTTCTTTCTATCTATTTCATACCGCACCCTTATACTGATAATTTAGTTTTCTGTTCAGGGTACGGCAGCGGACTCCGAAGTTGCCGCTGTGGGGGCGCCAGATGCCGAGGCAGAGGGGTTGGATGCTGAAGCGACCGTTGCTGAGGCGGCAGATAGCGAGGTGACAGTCGTTGAGGCAGCAGCTGGTGAGGCGGCCATTGTAGAGGCCACGGCTGGTGAGGCGGTGGCTGCCGAGCCACCGTCGGTGGCCTTGGCTGAGTTCCCATTGGTGATAACGGCCGTGCCTTCAGCGGCCACCACGGCTCCAGTTGAGCCGTCCTCGGTCGCCCCATGTCACCCTAGTGGCATCGTGTTTCACTTGTTAAGCATTCATTTTCACTACAAGTTGGTTTCTTTCCTAGATTTCATTGCGAGTCTCCAACTAACAAACATTTGGCCTTAGCCCCTGATAGGAGCATATTTATGCGACTTTGCTATCTTATTTCTTTGCATTTACTTAGTTAATTCCCATTTGTTAGAGTGATTTAGCTTATTTTCGTACTATTGTAGGTCCCGATGGCAAGATTGGTAAGAAAGGGCATTTTGGGGCATTTTAGAGCAGTTTTGGACTTGGAATGGATAGCATATGCATGGGGCAAGATGGATGGACGTTTTTGATGTTCAAAGAGGCTAGGAATGTGCTAAAAAGATGGGGAAATTAATTCAAGAATCAACTGCTTGGAAGAAACAACCCTACTTGGTTCTAGAAGAAAGCATTGGGGCCGCACCTTTCTCCTAAAAAGGTGGCGCCTGGGCCCTATCCTTGTTTCAGAAGAAATCTGCCAAACAAAACCCTAATTTCTAGGGTTTCTGCTGGGCCCTTTTACCCTAGATCTACCACATATATAAACGAGAGTTTTTGGTGCCGAGAAGAGGTAGAGATGAGGAGAGAAGAACGTAGAGACGACCTGCTGCATCCATTGGGGTTTTCAGAGTTCTTCTTCCCTAGTTTAGTTTAATGTTTATTCTAGATTGCTTTTCAATTATTATGAACATGTGTAACTAAATTTCTTCTTAGTTAGGGG